TTTCTCAACAAAAGTGAAGTTACTCTTTAACCACTTCCCGACCTCCCTATAGCAGAAATACTGCTACAGGGCGGCACCTGTGCGCAAAATCATGTATATACTGTATATGTGATTTTGCATTTCCAGGTAGGGGGCAACGCACCCTACCCGCACCACCATTCGCAGCAGTCAATCACAGAGCCCTGGCCGGTAATTACCCGTTGGCGCCTGGTGATTACTGAGCATCTCCGATGGGGAGGAATATTGTTTTGTTTACAAACAATCTTCCTCCCTGCCAGCTCGGCACACTGCTCGGGATGGCTGTACACAGCACAGCCATCCCGATCAGTGTGCTTACAGTGAAGCACACACACCCCTGACCCCCCAGTAAAATACTCCCTACATATAGTTAACCCTTTGGTCACCTCTCATGTTAACCCCTTCCTGCCCAGTGAAATTAGTACAGTGTCAGTGCTTTTTGTTAGCACTGATCACTGTATTGGTGTCACTGGGGATGTCAGTGACACCAAGTTAGTTCCCCAACCCCAGTGTCCGAATGTTCACCGCAGTCACGCAGTCCCGCAGTCATGCAGTCCCGCTAAAAGTCGCTGATCACAGCGAGTAATACTAGTAAAAAAAATCCCAGTACCTATGCTGCCGTTTGTAAACGCTATAACTTTCACATAAATCAAATAATTTACACGTATTTGGATTATTTTTAGCAAAGACATGTCACAGAATATATTTTGGCCTAAATTTATGACGAAATTAGATTTTTAAAATTTTTTTACTGGACTTGTTTTATAGCAAAAAGTCCAAAATATTGTTTTTTTCTCAAAATTGTTGGTCTTTTTTTTATAGTACAAAAATAAAAAACACACAGGCGATCAAATACGACCAAAAGAAAGCTCAATTTGTGGGGGGAAAAAAGGACATAAATTGCATTTGGGTGCAGCGTTGCATGATCATTCAATTGTCAGTTAACCACTTGAGCTCCAGAGGATTTACCCCCCTTAATGACCAGGCCTCTTTTTGCTACTCGGCGCTGCACTAATTCAACTGATAATTGCGCGGTCATGCAATGCTGCACCCAAACAAAATTTACGCCCTTTTTTTCACACAAATAGAGATTTCTTTCGGTGGTATTTGATCATCTGTGCGCTTTTTATTTTTCACGCTATAAACAAAAAAAGGCTAAAAATTTTGAAGAAAAACAATATTTTTTACTTTCAGCTATAAAAAATATATAGTAAACTCAAAGTTGGTTATAAATTTAGGCCAAAATGTATTCTGTTACATGTTTTTGGTAAAAAAAAATCCCAATAAGTGTATATTGATTGCTTTGTGTGGAAGTTATAGCGTCTACAAACTATGGTATAAATACTGCAACTTACGCCATTTTTCTGCTATACAGCGCTGCGCTAGTTTAACGGACAATTGCGCGGTCATGCAATACAGTACATAAATGAAATTTACATACTTTTTTCCCCACAAATTGAGCTTTCTTTTGGTGGTATTTGATCGCCTGTGCGGTTTTTATTTTTTGTGCTATAAAAAAAAAGGCTGACAATTTTGAGGAAAAAAAAACAATATTTTGGACTTTTTGCTATAAAACATGTCCAGTAAAAAAAAAAAAATGCAAAAATCAAATTTAGTCATAAATTTCTGCCAAAATGCATTCTGCGACATGTCTTTGCTAAAAAAAAAAAAACCAATACGTGTAAATTAATTGGTTTACGTGAAAGTTATAGCGTTTAAAAATGGCGGGAAAGATACTGGGATTTTTAGTTTTTTTTTTATACAAATAATGGCGGCGATCAGTGAATTATGGCGGCGATCAGTGACTTATGGCAAGACTGCGGGACTGCGGCGGACATTCTGACATTGGGGGGTACTGACTTGGGGTCACTGACATCCCCAAAAACACTAATACAGTGATCAGTGCAAAAAGAAAAACACTGACACTGTACTAATGGCACTGGGGAGGAAGGGGTTAACTTTATTTTGCAGGGAAGGGTTATCTGAGTGAGGGGGGTGTTTTACTAGGGGGCGGGGGTGTGTGCTGGACGGGACACCGCTGATCGAGAGAGAGAAACTCTTCTGTTTCGATCAGCTCGTCCTCGAGCTGACAAGGAAGTGACAGACAGCACAGCTACTGCAGCTGTGCTCTCTGTCACTGTTTACCGCCGATCGCCGGGAAACAGCCGCTAAGGACCGGCTGTGACCCGGCAACTGACATCCGCGGCAGTGATCGGCGGGACCGATAGGGCGGCGTGCGCCTCGCGCGCGCCCCCTATCTGTTTACAAAACACACGTTTTAAAACGTGGTTTTGCCTGCCAAATGCCGCCCTGCCGCCGTATTTCTACAGTGGCAGGGCGGCAAGTGGTTAAAATAATACAGCGCTGTAATGCAAAAAATGTCCTGGTCAGGAAGGGGGGTAAATCCTCAGGAGGGCAAATGGTTAAAATGTTACTAAACCCAGGACTCTGCATTCACTTTATCTGGTCTCTCACAGTACACACTATATGGAAATGCAATTATTCTAGTAAATACAGACTGCTAAATACCAGCACTTAGAGCAGTATTGTGACTTCTATCAGTGTCCAGCAGAGCACATGTTAAAGCTTGTAGGAGGATTTTGCTTTCTACTCTAGGAGGATGCAAAACCCCTGACCTCTCTCTGGACAGTGCTGATTGGTCCTGATCACATGCACTCTCCCAAGAAAAAAAAAACTCTAGCAATACACACCAAACTGAGCATGTGCAGAGTGACTCCACACAATATGTCTTTTCAGGAGATAAGAGGCGGGGCCTGAAAGAATTGGAGGGTCAAAGTCAGGATCAAACAGCCTTTTTACACAATGCAGAGGATTAACCCCGTAGGCTCCACAGTGAGTATAACAAGCATGCTTTACCGCATATACAGACCGATTTTACTGTTGTGGCGTTAGTAATACTTTTAAGTTTGGACAGAGATGGGAAGGGTTTTCCTTGCGGTTCTCTCATTGGAAAGCTTTCTCCTCACTTCTTGTACCAGTTACAATATGGACAAGAACAAGAACTGATGGGACATCCCTCTACTAGGGTCAGAGACAGCAACAGAAACACTGTTTTAGGAAAGAAGAGTTAGAAACTGTAACAGATTTTCCTGCTGTCAATGTCTGCCATTCCTAGTAACAATCGTTCACCGTCTCATGAAGCATGCAGCACTTGACCCTATTTCACCCATGGCCCCGTTGTGTATTAAAAGCCAATTTTATATTCTGTCTGTACTGGTTGTAACATGCACTTGGTCTCTTGGGGGATTCAATTCACATTTTTAGAATGTAGTGATACTTCATTAAATCCCGATAACTATTTCTCTGAAGTATTATTATTATTATACAGTATTTATATAGCGCCAAAGGGTTTGCTCAGCATTATACAATAGCAAGGGGGACAGAACATGAGACAAGACAGAAACAATACAATACACGAGGGGTTCGAGGGCCCTGCTCTTTCGAGCTTACAATCTAGGAGAATCTTGTATCCACTCTCCTTGGACTTCCAGCACACTGCACAGCTCTGGCAATCTGCCACTGTTGCTCCCGTGTATATCTGGGTTCCATGCACAATTTTTGTTACTTCTTTTTCTTGTCACCTTTTTAATGATTTACTCATCTTCAGAACTCAAATTCCCTTCTATTTCCTATGCCAGTTCTATACATATTTGTAGTTATTTCTATTGCTTAAACAACTATCACAAGTTCAGCTTCAAAAATCCCTCTCCAATGATTAAAGTGAAACTTTAGTCAGAAAATTGCATCGTGCTGAATCATTTCAGGCTGGCTCTTTTTGCATGTATAGCTGTGCAAAACATTAAAAATATGTGCCTACACTGTTTAAAATCAAGTAATACACAGTTTCACCCTGCTCTGCACATACTCAGTTGCTCTCTATTTTTTGCCACTGTGTTGAAAATGTGGAGGCTGATATGCTAACAGCCTAAATATTTACTGCTGCTTAGGGGTTCTGGGCTTCAGCAAAATGGCAGCCTCCAGCAAGAAGAAACAGGAACAATGCTGGAGGCAATTTACAGCATGCACTCATTTTGCTAAAATAATTATTAATGTGGAATGTATGCTCCTGGCTGTTAAGTTGTTATGGGTAGAGTTCTGTTTTTTAATTACTAAGCAAGTCATTTACTGTATACCTCTGTAGCATCACCCATATTGTCGTCTGTTTGCACTTCAAAGTGCAAAAACAAATAAGAGATGATGAGGCTGGTTTACAATTTTTTCTTGTAATTGGTTTTCTATCATCTAAAAACTTTCTATATTCTAATAATTTTACTACTGCTTTAGGTCTGCTTGCATATTTATCTAATTTCAGTCTCCTTTTGCACGGTTATTTGTCCTGCCAATTATGTTGTAATTACAAGGTTTTTGTTGCGTGAAATGTCAAGATACCTGGCTCAGTGATCAGTTCCATTTGTAAATTTCGTTGATCATTGATTACATGCGTTTACCCGAGGCTGCGTTTAGCTGCAGTAGGAAATTCTTCACATTTTGTTGCAATTTTTTTTGTTTTGTACCATGATTTCCCATTTTGCGTTTTTGCCCTCCCATTTCTTGTCACTTTGTTTAACCACTTGCCTACCGGGCACTTATACCCCCATCTTTACCAGGCCAATTTTCAGCTTTCAGCGCTGTGGCACTTTGATTGACAATTGCGCGGTCATGCAAGATTGTATCCATATGAAATTTTTTATCTTTTTTTTCCTCACAAATAGAGCTTTCTTTTGGTGGTATTTAATTGCCGCTGGTCACTTTACTTTTTGCGCTATAAACAAAAAAATTGCAAAAAATTTGAAAAACAAAAAAAGTTTCTTTGTTTCTATTATAAAATTTTTCAAACGGGTAATTTTTCTCCTTCACTGATGTGCGTTGATGAGGCAGCACTGATGGGCACTGATAGGCGGCACTGATAGGCAGTACTAATGAGGTGGCAAGGATAAAGCAGCACTGATAGGCGGCACTAATGAGGTGTCACGGATAGGTGGCACTGATAGACAGCACTGATAGGTGGCATTGACTGGCATCACTGCTAGGCACTGACTGGCGGCACTGCTAGGCATTGACTGGCGCAACTGCTTGGCACTGACTGGCACAACCGCTGGGCACTGACTGGCAGCACTGCTGGGCTGCACTGATGGGTGGCACTGATGGGCACTGGTGGGTGGCACTGGTGGGCACAAGTGGGTGGCACTGGTGGGCACAGGTGGGTGGCACTGCTGGGTGGCACAGGTGGGTGCACTGCTGGACACAGGAGGGTGTACTGCTGGGCGCACTGCTGGGCACAAGTGGCTGGCACTGCTGAGCACAGGTGGGCGCACTGCTGGGCACAGGTGGGCGGAACTGGTTGGTGGCACTGCTGCGTACTGATCATCAGGGCACTGATGATTGGTGCCGATCCCTGCTCTGACAACTGCCGGTTCTCGATGTACTTTCCTCTCGCTCTGACAGCGTGAGGAAAGTGCAGCCGAGAACCGGCAATTGCATCAGCATGTCATTGGACACGGCTGATCACGTGGTAAAAGGTCACTGTGTTTGGCCTTTTAACACATCAAGTGATCAGCTGTGTCCGGAGGACATAGCGATCACCGAGATTGCCGGGGGTGCGCCCCCAGGGGCATGCAGGAGAGCGCGTTCTGGGAGGACATCATATGACGCCCTCCCAGAACTGGCTGGTTGTAGTGTAGCCATCATTCGGCTATTTGCGGTTGGCAAGTAGTTAATGAGAGGACTGATTGCTGTAATCATTTTGCTGCTGTAAGGGTGTGGATGCATGAAATACTGATGTGTAATGTTAAACTGTAATATGCCTGCAATATGCTCTTTGGTCAGTAGATGGCAGCAAAGTACAAGAATCGATTTTGCAGTGACTTTTGCTAAGACAAGATAAATGCTGATTTACCCTATAAAGTGAATGAATGAATAATGAATACTAATTTAGGGGCCGAGTAGGACCCTCAGAAGGGTCATAGTTAACTGTAAATGCAGGTTTGAGGCTGCAATTAAGAAATGACCTACTGCATCACAAACTCTATGGGAAGGGGAGGAGTTCCAGTGCAGAGGAGGAAGTGACTGTGTCTGGCTGGTGTATGCTGAGGACGTCTGGAGAATCTGTGTGGGGCCTGGAAGAGGATTTACGGCTCACAGTGGAGTCTGGCTACGGCACCTAAGGAAGATTCACCACAACGAGACCAGGAAACAAGTGACTGTATGGTCCGGTTCTGGAGTGGATCAGGAAAAAGCACCAAGAGCCTGCCAGGGAACTGTAAGTGCGGCTTTGCCGCAACACATCGCACCACACGTGTTCAGTGACATTTTGGATATACCAGAAAGTTACAAGAGACACACTCCACTTTCCTTTGGATTACAAATAGTATTGTGCAATACTTAGGGTGCACCCCAACGTTATATCTTGCTCAGGAACATTCAGGTGCAGCCAGGCTGCTTTCTGGACATTGGGGAAAAGTCTGCAAGTACAGGGTTAGTGTTAGACAGTATTATTCTTACTGTATGGTTATGCGCTGTTATCATTCTGTTTACGTATGCTTAACTACATGTTCACTATAACTGTTCGGTAAACGTAATTGTTTTAAAAGAACCGCTGTCTGTGTCTGTTTCTGGGGAAACTTACCGTATTTTTCGCTCCATAAGACGCACATAGGTATTTCCATCGTAACATAGGGAGATCAAAGCCCTTCTGCTCAGTAACTTAATCTGCTTACATCCAAGGCTTAATGGCAAATATCTTAACTCTATAACCTCTCTGTCAGGAACCATCACGACGCATAGGTCTACACATGCGTAGGTGTCTGCCGAGACGTATAGGTGGCAGGGCACTAGGACCCAGGCGAACCCGTCGTCTGGACAGTACTAGGCAGGCACTGGGACCCAGGCTACGCCAGTCAGGTGCAGGGCGGGCTATTTAAACTAGCCCTGCACAGACACTTGTTGCCGAATGGTCTTTGTATCCTGTTACCTGTGTGTGAGTAGTTCTGATCTGGATTGTTTTGACCTTGTTGCCTTCTCCCGTCCTGACCCCTTGGCTTGCCTGACTCTGCTCCTGGATGTTCCCGTTTAGATCTGACCTCCTGGTATTGACCCTGCGTGTGACCCAACTATCCTTTGCCTACCGTTTTGTACCTTACCGATCCGCTAGTTACCGACCCGGCCTGCATGACTCTGATTTAGCTCATCCATCCACCCACCCCGCAGGGATCACTAGGCTCCCTTACATCAGACTCCTAGCTCTCTGGAGCCCCTGTCAGACTCCTCTACCCCTGTTGGAGATACCTGGTAGTTGCAATCTGGTACCGGAGCGCTCCAAGTCCATCCCCACCATCAGGGGCCCTGGTGAACAAGTGCTCCGGTGCTTAGACTCCGCACTCTGGGGAGGCTCTACCGGGGGACTGATAGAGGTGCTGTGAGGCGGTCCGTTACACTCTCCCTGATATCTCTTTGCTGGGCTGCTAGTCTCTGTATGTTTATATATATATACAGTTGCAAGAAAAAGTATGTGAACCCTTGGGATTACGTGGAGTTTTGCATGAATTGGGCATAAAATGTGCTCTGAACATCATCTAAATCACAACAATAGAAGAACACAGTCTGCTGAACATAATACTACACAAACATTAGATGTTGCCATGGTTTAATTGCACATAACATGTAAACATTCACAGTGCAGGGAGGAAAAAGTATGTGAGGCCCTAGCTTAATGACTTCTCCCAGAGCTAATTGGAGCCAGGAGTGAGCCAATCTCCAATCAGTGTGATGATATTGGATGTGTTGCTGACAGCTGTCCTGCCCTTAAAAAACACACACCTGTTTTGGGTTTACTGGTTTCAAGAAGCACTGTCTGATGTGAACCATGCCTCGCAGAAAAGAGCTCTCAGAAGACCTACGATAAAGAACTGTTGACTTGCATGAAGCTGGAAAGGGTTACAAAAGTATCTCCAAAAGCCTTGATGTTCATGTGTCCACGGTAAGACAGACTGTCTACAAATGGAGAAAATAGCACTGTTGCTACTCTCCCTAGGCGTGGTCGTCCTTTAAAAATGAATGCAAAAGCACAGTGCAGAATGCTGCATAAGGTAAAGAAGAATCCCAGAGTGTCAGCTAAAGACCTACAGAAATCTCTGGCACATGCTAACATTTTTGTTGACACATCTACAATAAGGAAAACATTAAACAAGAATGGAGTACATGGGAGGACACCACGGAGGAAGCCATTGCTGTCCAAAAAGAATATTGCAGAACGTTTGAAGTTTGCAAAAGAGCACCTGGATGTTCCACAGCACTACTGGCAAAATATACTGTGGACAGATGAAACCAAGACTGAGTTGTTTGGGAAGAACACACAACACTATGTGTGGAGAAAAAAAGGCACAGCACACCACCATCAAAACCTCATCCCCACTGTGAAACATGGCGGAGGGAGCATCATGGTTTGGGGCTGCTTTGCTGCCTCAGGGCATGGACGGATTGTTGTCATTGATGGGAAAATGAATTCCAGAGTTTATCAAGACATTTTCGTACGACCATCTGTCCGCCAACTGAAGCTCCGCAGAGGATGGGTGATGCAACAGGACAATGACCCAAAGCATACAAGTAATTCAACAAAACAATGGCTGCAACAGCACAGAATACGCCTTCTGGAGCCCAGTCAGAGTCCTGACCTCAACCCGATTAAAATGCTGTGGCATGACCTTAAGAGAGCGATTCACACCAGACATCCCAAGAATATTGCTACACTGAAACAGTTTTGTGAAGAGAGTGGTCCAAAATTACTCCAGATCATTGTGCAGGTCTGATCTGCAACTACAGGAAATGTTTGGTTGAGGTTTATTGCTGCCAAAGGAGGGTCAACCAGTTATTAAGTCCAAAGGTTCACATACTTTATCCTCCCTGCACTGTGAGTGTTTACATGTTATGTGGAAATAAACCATGACAACATCTAATGTTTTGTGTAGTATTATGTTCAGCAGACTGTGTTCTTCTATTGTTGTGACTTAAATGACGTTCAGAACACATTTTATGCCCAATTCATGCAAAACTCCACGTAATCCCAAGGGGTTCACATACTTTTTCTTGCAACTGTATATATCTTAGTTACATCTTTTTCTGTATGTTTATGTATATATATATATCTTAGTTACATCTTTTTCTGTATATTTATATATATATATTTTAGTTACATCTTTTTCTGTAAATATTTTTATTGCACCCGTTTGACCTCTTACACCCTGTTCCAAATTAATATGCAAATTCTATTTAGTAAGTGTCACAAAGATTAAATATTTTGTTTTTCTCAAATTAAATATTTTGTTAACTCATGGATGGCATTGTGTGTCAGGGCTCTTTTGATCACTGAAAACAATCTTGGACACCTGTGATAATTAGATTGGCAGGTAAGCTCAATTTAAGGAAAAACTACTAAAGGACGGTGTTCCACATTATTAAGCAGAGCACCATTTTCAAGCAATATGGGGAAGAAAAGGGATCTCTCTGCTGCCGAAAAGAGTGAAATAGTTCATCTTCATGCATGCCAATGCACCATCTCATGCTGCAAAGAATACCTCTGCATCAATGGCTGCTATGGGGATAAAAGGAGAGAAAGTCATGGTGTGGCCTCCATCTTCCCCTGACTTCAATCCTATTGAGAATCTTTGGAGCATCCTCAAGCAAAAGATCTATGAGGGTGGGAGGCAGTTTACATCCAAGCAGCAGCTCTGGGAGGCTATTCTGACATCTTGCAAACAAATTCAAGCAGAAACTGGCCAAAAACTCACAAGTTCAATGGATGCAAGACTTGTGAAGCTGCTATCAAATAAGGGGTCCTATGTTAAAATGTAACGTGGCCTGTTAAAATGTTTAAAAAGTTAAAATGTTGTTAAAAGTTTGAAATAGCTTTTGATTTCAGTAAATATGCTGCAAACACAACAAATGACAATTTTCAGTTCTTTACAACCTATAAAGTGTTTTGAAACTTACTGTGCGTAATAATTTGGAACAGTGCATTTTAAGTTTTTTATGTTTTAAAAAAAAATCCTGTTATCATTAGGAGGTTTGTTCAATAAAATTTGAATTGTACTCTTAATAGTTGATAACATGAGAATTATGCTGACTGTTATTTACATCAATTATTTAGGTAAATGAGAAAAATATTAATTGCATAATAATTTGGAACAGGGTGTAGTAATAAATCTTTCTTTCTGAAAGTGTTGAACTGTTTCTATAGCTCTTAATTGCAATTTACGAATCCCTGCCTTTAAAGAGAACGCTACTGTGTTTGTTTGAACCTCTGTATAACCGGCCTGCAGACCGTTTTATACAGACGATTATATCAACCATTATAGTGTTATAGCTGAACGCCGAGTTTCCTCTTTCTCTGATCAAAAAGGAGGTGGTGGCAGTGTGAAGGGTTAATTGCATAATTAACCTGACCCAGTAACAATCGATTCAGGCTGCTGGCACATCGATCGGCATCCATTAGCTGGAAAAACGTTGTGCAGGGTGCAGCTGGGTGTGGCATTGTTACGCACGTCACATCGCGGTTGTAGATCGGCTAGCCCTTCGGTCACGAGTTTGGTGAGAAGGTCTGGGGTCTTACGCCGCGATCGTGACACAGAGTTCCACCCAAAAGTGGAAGTTCCACTTATCTGCCTCCTCCCCCCCCCCTCTGCTGCCACATTTGGCACCTTTTGGGGGGGAGTGGGTACCTGGTATTTAACAGGTACCCGCTCCCTCTTCCAGCCCAGTTCACCATAGTGAACTAAGCTGTAAGTCTCCTCCCCCGGAGCCCTCTGGGACACTTAACAGGTCCCAGAGAACTGTGGCCCATTCACAAAGCACAGGGTGCTTTGCGCATGTGCAGTAGGATGCTGGTTTCCCTTAGTCAAGATGGAGGTGCCAGCACTCGACAGCCGGTTGAAGGATCGGCTCGGGGTAAGGACACCACTGGATCCTTGGACAGGTAAGTGCCGTAATATTAAAATTCAGCAGCTACAGTAATTGTAGCTGCTGACTTTTATTTTTTTTTGGCGGGTGGGCTAAGGACTGGAACTCCGCTTTAAGATAAAAACTTTGTAAACATTGATAGAAGACATTAGATCTTGTAAATACAGACTGAAATATTGTAACAGATATTTTTTTTTATTCACGTTTCCATGGTAACCATAACAAATAGTTTACATATTCTTCAGATTGTTCAGAACACTGTGTGTTTCAAGTATTGGTGGCTCAGTATGGTAGGTGTCATTCACTTGAAAGATGAGTCACAAGTGTCAACAGTTTTCAACATTACTAAAACAAGTTCAATTATTCCACTGTCACTAGGCTTAAACAAAGTATTTCCTTTAACCACTTCAAGTCTGAACACTTTCACCCCCTTCCAATCCAGGCCAATTTTCAGCTTTCAGTGCCATCACATTTTGAATGACAATTGCGCGGTCATGCAACACTGTACCCATATGAAATTTTTAGCATTTTTTTGATACAGATAGAGTTTTCTTTTGGTGGTATTTATTCACCACTGGGATTATTTTTTTTTATATATAAATGAAAAAGACAAAGAATGAAAAAAAAGTGTTTTTCTTATTTTTGCAAAAAAAAAATCTTTCTTCATAAATCTTGGCCAAAATATATTCATCTAACTTTTTAGTAAAAAAAAAAACAAAAAAAACAAATTAGTTTATAACCAAAAATCATAATTTTTCAAAAACATTTTTACATTTTTATTTTATTTTTTCATATTATTATTTATGTTTTTTTTTACATACTGTCACCCTAGCAGTACAGTGTCACCATGGTGACACTGTACTACTTATGGGGTAATGAAGATTTTTTTTTTCTTTTTTTTTTTACACTGATTGCTTTTACACCCATAAAAGCTGTAAAAGCAATAATTTCTCCTTCTCTCTGGCTGCATTACTGCAGCCATTGATAAATACTGAGTGTGCTGTGATTGGTCACAACTTGTCCCATGGTACAAGGCTGTTATGAATATCCTTGTACCATGTGACCTCTGTGATCATTCACAGATTTCACAAGTAGTAAGTAATGATGTCAGAAAGTGACATCTTGTTTACTACTGTTCACATGGTCACTGATTGGCCAATCAGTGATCATATGAATCAGGACCTCACACAGAGGTCCTGTACATCGATCTGTGTTCAGCAGGCACCGATCGCGGTGCCGCTCGCTCCCGGAGAGCACGCACAGGAAATGGATGCGGGTGGTCGTTTAGAAATGTCCACCCGCATCAGCAGTGCTCACGTCCGGCTGTATATCGTCATGGGCCGGACGGGAAGAGGTTAATACATGTTCTGGCAGTGGTACTAGGAGTTTGCGTTGACGAAAGTATATGTACCTGGATAGAAAACTGGTTACAGGGGCATGTACAGAGGGTGCTGACCAGGGGCAGACTGACCATTGGGGAACTCTGGCACTGCCCAAGGGCCCGGGGTCAGTAGGGGGCCCCATGAGATGTCCTTGGTACCTTTCATAGGCTTTTTTGGGTGTGGTTTGAGTGTGAGCAAGGACACAGGGGCCCCATGATCCCCTATTGCCCGGGGGCCCCATGAGTTGTCAGTCCGCCCCTGGTACTGACAAATATTGTATCTTCTGAATGGTCTGCAGTTATAAGCAGGGTACCCCAGGGCTCTGTCCTGGGACCAATCCTGTTTAACTTTTCATAAATGATAAAGATTGGAATAAATAGTTCAGTATCAGTGTTTGTTGATCATACAAAGCTAAGCAGGGCAATAACTTCGCAACAGGACATAGCAGCTTTACAGAAAAGCCTTGATAAAATAGAGGGGTGGGCAAACACAAGACAAATGAGCTTCAATGTAGGGAAAAGGTAAAGTAATGCGCTTGGGGTCAAAAAATATGAATGCAACCTACATGCTAAGGGGACAATCTTTGGGGGAATCAAAGATGGAAAAAAAGATCTGGAGGTCCTAGTTGATGACAGTAATAGCATGCACAGCCAAGCTGAAGCAAGCAAAGCCAACAGAATATTAGCATGCATTAAAAAGGTTAGTTACTCAAGCAATAGAACTATATTTTTACCACTTTGAAAAACTCTCGTTCAGCTACATCTTGAGTATGCTTTCTGGTTCTCATCACCAGTCCTCCCGAGGGATTTTCTGGAACTGGAGAGAGTCCAGAACAAGGAAAAAAAAGCTAAGAGGGCTGGAGGATCATAGTTATAAGGAATGATTACAAACATTAAGATTATACATTCTGGAGAAGAGACACTTAAGAGGGGATATGATAGTGATATACACATATCTTAATGGTGATTCTAGAATTGAGAGGAAGCTGTTCAGTCTCAGGTCACTCAGGAAGACACCTGGCCACTCAATGAATGTCATTTAATCTTAAACTGCATAATGTTTTTTTTTTTTACATTTAGAGTGGTAAGGATGTGGAACTCCATTTCACAATTGGTGTTTTTAACAGGAAGTGTCAATAATTTAAAAAAAACTCTTAGATGGGCATTTTGTTGAACACAATATACAGGGATATAGGAAGTAGTAGAGCCATAAATACACACACCCACACAGTTAGAACTGCATGGACAGGTGTCTTTATTCAACCTTACCAACTATGTATTATGTAACTATGACTTCCCAATTGCTGCTATAAAAATAGGGTTGTATTGAGCGCTGCTCGGCCATTCACAGGAAGCCTGTTATTTACAAGGTTTCTTCTGAATTGCTAAAGTGGAGATCATGGCATCAGCTGCCTGCTTCTCAACCTCAGCCATTAAGAGGAAGCCTTGTATTCAAAGATAAAAATACTTATCCTGTGAATAAGCAGCACTCAGCACAACATTTTATTCTGGCAGCAGATGGGAAGTCCTCATATCGCTGCAGAAAGACAGAGCTGTATACTGTATGTAGTAGATTCTAACTACAGTGTTTGCAGCAGGCACGTCTTTTTTTTTTTTTTTTTTTTTGGACCAGCTTGGTACATACAAACTATTTAACATGTTGGATTTTTTAAAATAACTTTTTCAAACTTAGATTCATATAAACAATTTGTGAGGGTACATCCTCAGTCACACTTCCCAAGTGTGTTCAAAATCCTGCTGAATGCTGCTCACCCTGGAAAATAATCCCTCCATTGATGATGTGTCATTAAATTGCCTGTGTCTAACAATAAGGTGTCTGTATGGGTACCCTCACCTTCCTGTCCTCTCTTCCATTCACAAAACTTCTTGTAATGTTTTTGAAGAATGCAACTGTTATGTGAGTGGGGGAAAGTATCCTGACATCCATCCAACTGCCCCCAATTCAGGTGCAGAAAGGGGAGGTTGCAAATCAACTTTTTATACCCGTGGTAGTGAACTCATGCAGTACAGGAAATACAATGCCATGAGGAGTACCTGTCTTTGGTGAAGAGAGGATAAGGATCAGTCAACAAGAAGTTGGATATACTGTACTTCATAAAGGTAGGTTATTTGATGGGAAACAGGAATGTACGGAGGACTTGTTTATTTTTCTGATGATATAAATAAGAGAGTCAGAATGGGACAATACAGATCAGGGTGGACGATTTGGGGTTGCGAGGTCATGCATTTTGGCCAATCCATAATGGATTGTGTAAGGTCTGTACTTATAGGAGTGTCCTGAAATTGGATGGGTCATGGAGGAGGAAGAGTCATAGTAAGGAGGGCCAGACAGTAGAGGCACTGGATGTATTAAACCTCAATCCCCATAACTGAAATCTAAGAACATGGGAGCCTCTGCATAGGAGTTTGGTCTCCAGCGTGATGCTGCAGCTCCATTTCTATCTGCAGACCTCATTTCATGGAGTTCTTTCTTGTAGCGGTCATGCAGGAGCCATCTGATTCATAGCTTCTTTCCTAGAATATATTTTATTTTCAAATATTATACAGTGGGGATCGAAAGTTTGGGCACCCCAGCTAAAAATTTGTATTAATGTGCATAAAGAAGCCAAGGAAAGATGGAAAAATCTCCAAAAGGCATCAAATTACAGATTAGACATTCTTATATATGTCAACAAAAGTTAGATTTTATTTCCATCATTTACACTTTCAAAATAACCGAAAACAAAAAAATGGCGTCTGCAAAAGTTTGGGCACCCTGCAGAGTTAATATCTTGTACTGCCCCCTTTGGCAAGTATCACAGCTTGTAAACGCTTTTTGTAGCCATCCAAGAGTCTTTCAATTCTTGTTTGAGGTATCTTTGCCCATTCTTCCTTACAAAAGTCTTCCAGTTCTTTGAGATTTCTGGGCTGTCTGTCACGCACTGCTCTTTTTAAGGTCTATCCATAGATTTTCAATTATGTTGAGGTCAGGAGATTGTGAAGGCCATGGCAAAACCTTCAGTTTATGCTCTTGATGTAATCCCCCGTGGATTTCGAGGTGTGTTTAGGATCATTATCCATTTGTAGAAGCCATCCTCTCTTTAACTTCAGCTTTTTCACAGATGGCATCAAGTTACCATCCAAAATTTGCTGAAATTTTATTGAATCCATTTTTCCTTCTACTCGTGAGATGTTCCCTGTGCCACTGGCTGCAACACAACCCCAAAGCATGATTGATCCAACCCCATGCTTAACAGTTGGACAGAGGTTCTTTTCATTCAATTCTGTGCCCCTTCTTCTCCAAACGTACCATGCTCATTCCGGCCAAAAAGTTCAATTTTAACCTCATCGGTCCACAGAACTTGTTTCCAAAATGCATCAGGCTTGTCTATATGTTAATTTGCAAAGTTCAAACGATGATTTTTGTGGTGAGGACGTAGAAGAGGTTTTCTTCTGATGACTCTTCCATGAAGACCATATTTGTACAAGTATCTCTTTATAGTGGAATAGTGTACCACAACTCCAGTGTCTGCCAGATCTTTCTGGAGGGATCGTGCAGTCAAACGTGGGTTTTGAATTGTTTTTCTCACAATCCTGCGAGCTGTTCTGTCTGATATTTTTCTTGGTCTTCCAGATCTTGCTTTAACTTCCACTGTTCCTGATGACTGCCATTTCTTAATTACATTCCGAACAGAGGATATTGACATCTGAAAATGCTTTGCTATCTTCTTATAGCCTTCTCCAGCTTTGTGAGCGTCAACTATTTTCAGTTTCAGTTTTCTAGACAACTGCTTAGAAGAACCCATGGTGCTGATTGTTGGGGGCAAGGTCAGATGAGTCTGGGCATTTAAAACCTTTGAGATTGACATCATCTGGTCTTCCCAGACGATGATTGAGAACAATCCATGACACTGACAGGTCTCAGCTTTGCAAAGGGGACAGTGCATGCTATAAATTCTGCAGGGTGCCCAAACTTTTGCAGACGCCATTTTTTTGTTTTCTGTTATTTTGAAAGTGTAAATGATGGAAATAAAATCTAACTTTTGTTGACATATTATAAGAAAGTCTAATCTGTAACTTGATGCCTTTTGGAGATTTGTCCCTCTTTCCTTGGCTTCTTTATGCACATTAATACAAATTTTTAGCTGGGGTGCCCAAACTTTTGATCCCCACTGTATGTCAAACATGGGGTAGGGAAGTAGAAAATTGATGGACCATAGCAAACAATCAGCTTCTATTAACTTATGCTTAGTTACAGATACCTGTGAGCCCACTGCTCCAGGACACTGTCAACTTCATTTTTTATAAATTCATGTATCCAGTGTAATTGTAATCATTGCTAAACGCACTGTGTGAAGGGTGCAAAAGAAATGCAGTGTCTGTCTTTTTTGCGGTTAATAAATACCTATATCTACAGCTAAACTACAATTTCTTAACAGCCATGTTAAAAGGTCCTTATTCTGTTTCCTTTTCTCATTCTCTTTCCGCTTTACTTACAAACCTTTACATTTGTTTGCTGCAGTAAAAATCAATCTGTCTATGCATTAAAGCATACTTGTTATACTCACTGTGAAATCTAAGGGGTTAATCCTCAGCTTTACATAAAAAGGCTGTTTGATCCTGTCTTCTCTGATCCTCCCCTTCTTCCACAGTCCCCAATCTGCTGAATACAGAGCCCTAGGAGACACTCTGCACATGTTCAGTTTGGTGTGTAATGCTAGAGAGGTTTTTTTGGGGAGAGTGACTGTGATCGACACAGGGCCAATCAGCAATATCCAGACCTGGGGTCAGGGGTCATGCAGCCTCATAGAACAGTCAGAGCAGAATGAAAACTCCTCCTACAAGATTAACCCTCAAAACAGTATTTTTGGTAGATATTACCACAGCTAGAAGAGTAAGTGAGTTGGAAGCCCTATTATTCAGGACCCCTTCTTCCAGATTTTTTCAGATAGGGTAACGTTCAGGACGGACCTGGCCTTTTTACCCCAAGACAGCCTCGAGTTTTCGTTGGGGCCAAGAAATTACTTTACCGTCATTTTGTTCTAATCCTTCATGTGACCAAGAAAGGAAATTTCACACGTTAGATGTTAAGAGATGTATTCTTCATTACTTATATAAGACTAAAGATACCAGGAAGTCCGATTCCTTTTTGTATTATTTTCAGGGGCAAAAAAGGGTTGTAAGGCTTCTAGGCACACCTTAGCTAGGTGACTGAGACTGGGAATTAGACAGTCATATCTGGTC